TTTGACTTCTTCTCTCACAGGTGGGCCCCACTTTTCTCCTAACGATCAAAAAATCAATTCTCAAAATTACTCCCAAATAGGCTCTAAGATTCTTGATTTTTTATTATCCGATGTGTTGGTTTTATTATGAATTAAATACATTAAATTACTTGATCACTAATTTGATGATTTTTGTAAATCTTTTACGAATACAGATATGAGTTTAGAATTTAAACCATATAGTAAAATTCGAAGAATTGGTATAACGAGTAGAGATACATATACTAATTACTGTGGTCATAATTGAATTCTTAGGATAAATAATTTGTTTAACCAAGTTAGATTCGCATAGAGATATGGAATTGAATTAGTTAAATATGCTCAATGAGAACTCTAGAGGGGTAAGCTGAATACAACAGGAAAATTTGACTGAATACTATATTAGGTGTGAATCTTAATTTAAGATGTAAAGGTGATCAATAAGTGAAATTATTCTGCCCTAACGTCCATTCATCACTTGATTTTCAAACCAATCGTGCTTGCATCCCTTTATTTTCTCATATATAGATTAAAACTCAAATCCTACAAGTTTTATCTCATCAAATAGTAGTTAAAGAAAATTTGAATTAAGTACTAGAGTATAGTTCTCTTGAGATTGACAATCCAAAATCTTAGGTCCACTTACTACTTGTTAGGGTCCATGCACTTGCGAAAATAAATTTTGACAAGAAGTTTTTGGCGCCATTACTAGAGATTATTACTTTTAGTCCTAATTTGTTTATTTTCAACTGCTTTTTGATTTGTGTATTTATTTTTTACAGAAAATTGTGTTCATTGTATACTTTTTGCTCAAGGCGACAATTTTGAACCGTTTGATTTGGAGATAGAACGCACTTTCAAATGAAGACGCAAAGAACACAATAAAAATAGCAACATCAAATGGCTGACAATCAACATATTTCTATCCCTATTCAGCCAATTAAACAAACGGCCATAAGAGTGGCGACACCATCGGCACAGTAGCATGAGCGAGGGAAAATAAATAAAGGAGATTTACCAGTCTCAATGTTCCTGACACTATAGCGACTTCCACGCGCTCCATCATCTTGTATCCAGATTTTGCGATGAATAATTTTTAGATCATACCAGATTAGATTAACTTGATGAGCAATATTCTCCAATTCTACGGGTTACCTCATGAAAACTCGAACACACATATATCTAGATTTCTCAAAAACTGCCAGAACTTCCATGCTCTCCAGGGGTTAATGAAGATACTATTAAACTACAATTATTTCCATTTACATTGAGCGATGCTACATTGGAGTGATTAGATGCTGAGCCACATGGAAGCATTACTACATGGGAAGAACTGATTAGAAAATTCTGCAACAAATTCTTCCCACCGACAAAAGTAGCAAAAATCAGACTGAAAATTCAAACTTTTCAACAAAGAGAGGGAAAGAACTTTCATGAGACATGGAATAAATTTAATGAGCTGGTGAAAAAGTGTTCAAACCATAACATCACTAAAAGAAACCAAGTGCAGTACTTGTACATCGAACTTACGCCAACGTCAAAATCTCATGTGGATGACTCTGCTGATGGATCAATCATAGGGAAATCAATTCAACAAACCATAGACTTGTTTGAGTTAATTACCACCACACATTCAATGTTCTCATCAGAAAGAGTGGTATCACCAAATACAGCTGGAATGTATGAATTAAACAACACAACATCTACCAATGTACAGATAACAACTTTAACAAAACAGGTAGAGTTACTTGTAAAATTACAAACACATGGAGCAAATGCATTGATAGCAAACCCATCATGTGAGAATTGCGGAGCCAATCATCTCATACAAAACTGCACGTTTATGGGATTTTCAGAGGAACAAGTCAACTTTATTCAGAATGGCTCTCGAAATTTTAAGCCATTTTCACAAACATATAACCTAGGATGGAGGCAACACTCAAATTTCAGATGGTTAGATAATCAACAAGGGAATAGTTCAAATAACACCCAACCAGAGAAAAAATCAAATTTGGGGGAAATGTTCAATTAATATATGCAGAAGACGAAAAAGGTGGTCCAGCAAATTGACATAAACTTTCAAAATCAGCAAGCATTCATCAAGAAACTAAAGACATAGATTGTTTAGATAGAGTAATAACATGTAGAATGCCTACAAGGGATATTGCTAGGCAATACAATAATAAATCCTAAGAAATAGGTGATGACAATTAAAGTGGTGGAGAACGATCCACCCAGGGCCCTGTGAAAGTTAAAGCATATGTATTCCCACTTCCATTTTCCCAAAGACTTTGAAAGAAGTTGATGGAATAAAATATTCATATCATAACTACAAAGAGTGATGTAAAATCGCCAGAAATTATTATAAAGAGACTCAAAAGAAAAGATGACCAAAAGGTGATTGATGAAGCTATAATGGTAGAAAAATCTGCACCAACTGCAATTAAAAATGGAGAAAGTACATAAACATTAGTTGTTAAAGTACCAAGTCCAATAAAAACATACGTGCCTCACTTTACTTTTCCTCAAGGGCTTAAAAAGAACAAACAAGACACAAATTATGAAAATTTTCTCGATGTTTTCAAAAAGCTCCAGATCAATATTCCGTTCATTGATGCGATACTACAAAATTCCAGGCTACGCGAAATTTTTGAAAGAGATGTTGATGAAGAAAAGAAAGCTTCCAGAGTTTGAAACTGTGGCATTATGTGAGGAAAGTAGTGCAAGATTCCTAAACAAATTGCCTCCCAAGTTGAAGGTCTAGGGAGTTTCACTTTACCAATTTCAATTGGAAATTCTCGTTTAATTAATGCATTGTGTGACACAGGTGCTAGTATCAACCTAATGTCGTACTCTGTTTATGAGAAATTGGGATTAGGTAAAATCAAACCAACATTAATAACGCTACAACTAGCTGATAGAACAATTTCAAGGCCACGTCACAAAGTTGAGGATATACTCATAGAAGCAAGAAAGTTCATATTTCCTGTTGACTTCATTGTGTTCGGCATACCAGAAGATCGAGACATTCTAGTTATATTGGATTGGTCATTCTTAGCAACTGGATGAACTTTGATTGACATGGAGAAGGGTGAGCTAATATTGATGATGGAGGAAAAGCAAGAGATATTTAATATATATACCTAATAGAGTAACATCCCAACATCAAGTAGCTATAGAGTAAATGAAGAAGAGCCACATAATCTACAAGATTGCCAGAAAAGAAAATCAAATTTTGGTAGACTTCTTGGTAGGGATGAAAATGGAAATATCAAAATTTGGAAAGCCAAGAAAACGGTCATAAACAAGAATTACACAAAGTACAAGGATGAAATAATTTGGTTCGAGCCACCATAATCAATCATGGTCACAAGTCAAGCGAATGAGTTTAAAGAAGAGCTTCTTGGGAGGCAACCCGAACTTTTATTTTATTTTTTTTGTTTTCAAAGTTCTAAGATAGTTTAATTTATAGTTTATTCGAAAATTATCACTTATACCCCTTCTATTCATAGGTCTTTAAGCAATTAAATTGGTTGTTAGATGTTTGAGCTAAGTAACCTTTGTTCCATGAGTTTAATTTTTCAAAATTGGTTTTTTATAAATATGATGTCGCGAAACACTCAAACCAACATGGACATGGAGAAAATAGAACAAATCTCAAGTTTGGGAGGAGAATGTAGAAGAAGAGTCGATCAAACACCAAGGCAACACAACGTCATCGGCAATACTAATATTTCTGGGAAGTCCTTCTCCTTTTCCTTTAAATTTAACATTGAAGACAATGTTTAGTTTAAATTTGGGGGAGTGTATTGTTATTGATTGCCTAATTGCCTACCTAAAATTTTTGTGTGAGTTGGACAGTGTGGCTTATAATTATGTTTTATTTTGAGATTTGGTGTTGATTTATTAACTATGGATAGGATGCATGCTAGATTGATTGAAGTTTAACCTTGAAAAATTTGATATTATACATGTACTAGAATTGAGTCTGACACTATGATGAAACGAGTTGATTAATTTGTTAGATATGTTGATTTAATTGGACATAGATGCTTTACGTAAACGATATTAAATTACTTATCCTTAGACCAAAGTTAGCACAATTTGAAGATGATTTTACAGTTGTGAGAAGATGAAGAGGTGAATGTGGATTCCATGTGTGAAAACTTATGTGTGGATTATCTTAAACTAATATGATAAAACTAGGCAAAATTCTTAAGCTGGAGGTCAGTTTGTTTGAATAAGTGTGTGATAGGGGCATTGCACTAATCAAGGCATATACATTTGAAATATAAAAACTTCTCTTTGTAGTCTTCATGACTGGAATAATTAAGCCTGCAAGTGTATCTTAAAATTTGGTGCCCTAAAATCGTTTGATTTGGGAGTCATCGATGTAAAACTCGCTACATGAGTCATCTAGAAGGCAATAAAAAATGAAACTACACTTGAAACAAAAATTGGTTATTTTCGAAGCCTTTTTGACTTGGGTCAGTAAGCATGTAATGGTATTTAAAACTTGGTGCCTAAAATTAACCGATTTGGGAATCATCAACATAAAGCCTGCTATAGGAGTTATCTAGAAAGCTTAATGGAGAGAATACTAAAAAAATTTTGTGAAAAACACAAAAAATAAGTGCATGAAGAGAGTAAAAATACTGAATACCTTGGTTAAACCCTAACACTTATTTGAGAGAATTTGACTTTCAATGACGGATAATCAGCTAGTTGAGTTGTAGCGATAGAAACAATCAAATAATTGAAGAATCTCTGTTCATTGAAGTGTTGATTTGCAACTAGTAACATCCATCTGAACTCGAGAGTGTGAGAATAGTAATGAAATATCAACATTAAATTACACACTGGGAATGAGTGAAAAAGTGTAAGTTTGGGGGTATGTAAATCACACGAGAAATGTAAGAATAGAGGGTCGAGAATTGAAACAATTTGTGCAATCATGGTTAATTACTTAATTTTTCACACACATGTCGATTTTGCACTGGAAGAGTAGATATTGGTTTGGTATTGTGACTTTAAAGCATGTTTGTAGAATAAACATCAAAATCTCGAATCCTGAGGTAAAAAGCTTGATTGCTCAACCAATTATCTTTTGTATGCTTGTGTGTTCGTAGTTATTTAGATGATAGTTTTGTTTGAGGACGAACAAATGTTTAAATTTGGGTGTATTTGATAAGTTATTTTATACACTTATTTAAGGCCTAAAACAATGATATTTAGTTGCTTTTCGGATGAATTATGATCTAAATTGTTGTATTTTTTATTGAATAGGTAAAATTCAATGATGATGCAAGAAATTGGAAGAAACAAGAGGAAAACCAGGAAAAAACCAAGATCCAAAATTTAGGCACTAAAGTGCGATTATTCAAAAGTTGTATCGAACATCGTGATGAAGATTCAAGAGTGATTGGAGTCAATTGGATAAAGAAAGACGTCAAAGATATTAAATATAATCAAAGTATGATCATAGATAAATTTCCAATCGAAAAAAGTTATACACCGTTTTCAATCTCATATTGAGACCCCATTTTGACATGGAAAATGATTGAATTTGAAAATGAAGTCTTAAGAAAAGTTGTAGCCCTTTGTGTTAGATTTCCAACGCATTTTGAATCACCTCATTCGGACATTGGGAGAAAAAATTAGAATAAAAATATTGAAAGAAGCGCAGCCAAAATTTTCAGCTAAAAGGTGGCATCGCGGCGCAACCAAAACAGAGCCTCGGCGTTGAGTATCGCCTGGGTACGTCTAGGGCGCGTTTTTGACCCATTTTAAAGTTTATAAAAACCCTACTTTCTACACAAACGTGGGGGGCAACTACATATACAATTTTTCAGCACTTTTGAGATAGATTCACACATTGCAAGGCAAGAAACACTATTGGAGAATCAAATGAAGAATTCAAGAGAATTCACTATGTGAAGCATCAATTGGAAGAGGAATAAATTCTTGGTGTAAGATCTACTTTTGTCTTTTACACCTTTTAATATAAATCCGATGGTGTATTCCATGACAATCTATGATTTTTTCTTTTTCATTATGAATAGATAAATCTATTGTTAGGGCGAATAATGTAGCCAATTGGAATCCTTCATATTGCTTTATTAAGATTCTTAATCTTTATTATTCCATGTGTTGATTTTACTATGAATTGAACGCGTTATGTTACGTTATCACTAATTTGATGATTTTTGTGAATCCTTTACTAATAGAGATGAGTTTAGGATTTAGACCATATAGTAAAATCTATTAAATTGGTATAATAAGTAGAGATGCCTCTACTAATTATTAAAATCATAATTAAATTTCTGGAATAAAGAACTTGTTTAACTAAGTTATCTCGCATATAGATATGGAATTAAATTAGTTAAATAGGCTCAATGAAAAATCGGGATGTGTAAGTTGAATACAATAAGAGAATTAGACCAAACACTACATTATATGTGAATCTTAATTTAAGATGTAAAGATGACTGTCGTAACGTTCATTCATCATTTAATTTTCAAACCAATCATGCGTGTACCCCTTTATTTTATCGTATTTAGATTAAAACTCAAATCCTACAAGTTTTATCCCATCAAATAGTGGTTAAAAAAATTGAATCAAGTGCTAGAGTATAGTCCTCATGGGATCGACAATTCGGACTTTTAGGATTACTTACTATTTGTTACGGTCTGTACACTTGCGAAAATAAAATTTGATAACATTTCTCCTTTGTGAAATAAAATATTTAAGATTTGCAACATTGAAATGGAGTTTATGAATCTTTAACCTTTCACCGTAGTAGCATTGAAATCCTTAACTGATGAAAGCCATTTTGTAACTACTAAAAAGTCAAAACTTCATCTTCATAAGACCATTATACCTTATTGTAAACTAAAAGCACAAAGAAAACAGAAAAAATTAAAAACAAAAAAAAAAGTATTTAATTCTACTATTCTAGACTTAGATACTAGGGGAGTTTGAGAAGAAATGTTCCTTTTTAAATCCCGAGGACCAAAACCTTCTATTTAACATAAATTGGGGACTACAATTGTAATTTTTTTCAAAAAATAAAAAATGTATCAGAATTGATTTCATATCCTTAGTGGACATGATAAAAAAGTTCTCTTTGCTGTCAGGACAAAAAAACCTTTGTTATAATTTCTTAGTCATGTTAGCGATGAATACCCATTGAGGCATGAGATTAAATCATTGTTTGGTAATCAACATTAACAATATATTTCATGGGTTCCAGAATTTTTCAACAATACATTTCGAAAGTTTTTATCAAAATCTATTAAAAATTTAATTTTAATCCGCATGAAACAAGGGCCAACACTGTATCAATACCAATGTATTAGAATTGGAGAAATAACCATTTTGGTTTAGATGAAAAACAAAACTGTTAAAAGAAGTTTTTGTTCATTAAAATTTTTAATATATTTTTATATGATTGGTTAGACTATTTGATCATTCACTTTCTAATTTTTCGGAACAATATTCTATTCGATTTTTAAAAATATTTACTACTGAACTCTAAATACAAATATTCAAAGTTAATTGGTAAAGACAGAAAAAGAAAATTTCAACCTAGAGATTTGAGAACCATTCTACTCAATCAATCACTTTCATACTTGCATTTTTTAACAAGATATCAAATCTTTTCTTTTGGCAAAAGAATAATAACTTTAAAGACTTGTGGATTTAGTAAATAGTTGATTGAAGACACCATGGATACTATAGTAATTCTTCATGGAATAGCTCGACTTTGTGAGAGAGAATTCAGCAGCACCATAAATCCATTTCCTGTATGGGACCCACTTCAAGATAGGGCTGAACAAAACTCCCGAGTCGAACCTGAACAGAATCAAACCGAACCAATCGATTCTTTTTAAGTTAAATATCCGAATAGGTATCTGAATCGAGAACCGATAGGTTCGATTCGATTCTCGGTTCTAGATCAAGAATCAAATCTCTCTAATTTTTTAAATAAGCGAAATTATTTTATTTTTTCTAAATAATTTGGCTAACTAGTTAATTTAACTCAAACTCAAAAATATGATTTTCCTATTTCTAATTTTCAGTTCAAAGCCAACTTAATTACATTGATCTAAGGTTTTTCCAAATCTATTACTCTACCGTAATGCTGTTTCTACTGTTTTGGAGAAATTAAATTGAAGCTCGCTGATGTCTCTATTAATTATTGTGAGCTCGCTATTTTCCTCTTATTGTGATTTTAACAATCAAATCTATAAAAAACTCAGCAAAAAGATACGCAAAAGACACATAAAATTGAACTACGTTATTTTGTAAGAGTTAAGATTGAACATATCATTTGTCGAATTAATATAGCTTTGTAAATATTAAAAAAATTAATTATAATACGAAAATTAGGAATTGAACCGAACCTGAACGGTTCCATAATTAAATTTGGACCTGACGGTTTCACTTACTAAATACTCGAAAATTTTGAATTTGGTTCGATTCTCGTTAGAACTGGAAAATTTTGAATTTGGTTCGATTCTCGTTAGAACTGAACCGAACCGAATCTAACCATATCCAGCTTTACTTCAAGTGGTCCAAAATACAAGAAAACATCAAATTAATGAGTGGGTCCCACAATAATTGAACCCCTTCGATTATTTGACACGAAACCCAATATGGAGGGATGTTGATTGGCTTATTTGCAAAAATGGTCCATAATATATTGACCCTAATTTAAAATCAGGATCTATATTTTAAACTTGGCACTAACGTTCCCACAATAATGATTTTCTAAACACATGTACTTAATTTATGTTAAGCATTGTGTCATGGCACATCGATTAATTAATGAATTATTAAATTCGAGGAACCTACCATTTATTTATTCATCAATAAATGTTGTGACATATCATCGATATTTAGGAGATCATTTCTGGACATCCCTATATGAATGTTTAAGTGCGAAAATAGTCATTTCAAGTATCATCCAACCATGAAAAGGCCATTTTTTATTTTTTATTTTTTATTTTATCGAAAAGATTACTATGCCTTAAGTTTAGTTAAATTAAGTAGAAATTAAAATATAAAATAAAAATTAGAAAACAAAACCGATTCATCTTTCATCGACGACTCACCATTACCCTTTCCCAGCCCCTTCATTTCCATAGTCACCACCCCACCTCCCTTATTTCTAATTAGTTTTTCACGTTCTTTCACTCTTTTTCATCTTCTCTATCTATGTTTTCGTATTTTCTTAAATGTTATAAATAAATAAAAAAATTAAAAAATACTTCTTGTTCTCCACACATTGGTAAAAGACACAAAAGAACTCTTTATGGACTAACTTTAAATTCTTTAATAAGCCTTTTGCAAAAAGCACAAGGCTTGAGTCCTCTTCTAGGAACCAATAATTCTCGTTATAAGATGGAAATATTAGAAAAAGAAAGAGAAAATAAAAGAATCGCTCTCTTTCTGAAGTGTATCCTTTTAAGTTCTAAATTTTAAGAAAAATTCTACTATGAATGAAGGCTGGTTTTGCGTAATGCAATTTTGCATTTGGTAGTTCGAGCATAAAATAATGACGTTGAGATATTCATTCTCTATCTAGGAAAATTTGGTTTGGTCGGTAACAATATCGACAATGGAAGGGAAGGAAGGGACTCTGGTGGTTGGGACTTAGGGAGTGGGGCTGGTGTGAGTGTTGGAGTGGGGTGGGTTGTCTGAGAAGATGGCTTTTTATTTTACTTTGTACACATTTAACTAAATTTAAGGTATAGTTTCTTATTTATTTATTTAAATTTTTAACAGTCAACTAGACACCAAGGGACGGAAATGATTATTTCTGCACTTAAACGTATAGGGACTTCAGTGCTATGATTGAAATAGTAGACCTTGACTCTGTAGGAGGGCATACACGAAGGACCACTTGTGCAAATAAGTCATCAATTTATTGGAGTCTTGGCTTTAGTCATGCATGGGCAATTCGACATGGACGTTAACACCTCAGCCCCAGATCAGATCTGAAATTCAGATAAGGGGCTGACACCTCCAGACCCCTGTCAGTGTAGTGCTTCTCATTAAAAAATGGGTTCAAAATCCGATTTAATAATGGAATAAAAGTGGTTCAATTGCATGAAAATATAAATATATAATTCAGATCAAAACTATGGGCATAGTCTTCTAACAATTCCATCAAACATAATTAGGAAAGTCTCTAAAAGAGCCCTTTAAAAGTGCCCTCAAAGTTGTTGCATTTTATTTATTTTTGTTTAGTTTGTTTTTTCTTGTGGTGGTTAGTGTTTTTGCAAATAGTGGCGTTGGTTGAGTAGATGGTGGTGTTGATGCAGTTGGCGGTTATGATGGTGCAGGAGATAGTGTTGGAGGCAATGGTGCAGCATCGTGGTAGTGTTTGGTAGTGGTGGTGTGATGGTTGCGATAGCGATGGTGGTGGTAATGTTAACGGTGGCGACGACGATGGTGTGGTGGTTCCGGGTTGCTATTGTGGTGGCAGTATAGTATGAAAGTATTTGTGACCAATTATTTGAGGGTTTGTGACCAACTATCAGGAGCTAGTGGTGGTGGTGGTTTTGGCGTCAACAGTGGTGGTGCTATTGGAGGTAGTAATGAGATGGTGGTCACAAGTGTCGATAGTCATCACAAATTATTTGGTTGATTTCAACCATTATACAATATGTGGGACCAATAAACAATATGTGACCTATAAAAAATATAAAAAAAATGGTTAATTAGTGATTAATAAATAATATGTGACCAATAAAAAATATAAATTTAACTAAGAAATAAGCTTGCTGGTGGAAGACCTGAACGTGTGTTTACCATGACTTTTGGTAGCGCTTCCCACAGACGGCGCCAATGATGCTACCAAAAATCGTACCTGCTGATTTTTCGAGCTTGATGACTGGTGAGGAGCACGAACGTGATCTTCCGATACCTGAAACAAAGGCAACGAGGTGTGTTCTCGTCGCCCCTCCGATGCTTAAGTCAGAAAGGGAAATATATGCGTGAGGCTATGTGCTGAAGAACAATGAGAAAACGTACCTGAATAATGGCCCAAGGTTCTGCTTTTATAGGAGTAGGTAGTGTACTCCTAGTAGGATTGTGTTGGTTGGATGTTTTTATCCAAGGGAATTTCTATTATAAAGAATGTCCTACTTGTAACGGAATTGTTTGACAAGTGGTGTTAGGGTTGATGTAGAATCCTTGGGTTTTTAGGTTTGTTAGTTAGGTACCCAGGCCTTAGGAGGTACGTTGGTGGTGTATGTCTCGAGGACTATTCTCGAGGACATTGACGGAATGTAAAAGTGTCCTCGAGGTATCTCGAGGACTACAATATCTCGAGGACTTAGATGACCTCGAGGACTGAAGAAGAGAAATGAGGTGGGGGTATGTATTGAGTCCTCGGGAATAAATGCCTCGGGTGTATCAATATTGGCATAGTCAGGTTCAAAATCCGATTTAATAATGGAATAAAAGTGGTTCAATTGCATGAAAATATAAATATATAATTCAGATCAAAACTATGGGCATAGTCTTCTAACAATTCCATCAAACATAATTAGGAAAGTCTCTAAAAGAGCCCTTTAAAAGTGCCCTCAAAGTTGTTGCATTTTATTTATTTTTGTTTAGTTTGTTTTTTCTTGTGGTGGTTAGTGTTTTTGCAAATAGTGGCGTTGGTTGAGTAGATGGTGGTGTTGATGCAGTTGGCGGTTATGATGGTGCAGGAGATAGTGTTGGAGGCAATGGTGCAGCATCGTGGTAGTGTTTGGTAGTGGTGGTGTGATGGTTGCGATAGCGATGGTGGTGGTAATGTTAACGGTGGCGACGACGATGGTGTGGTGGTTCCGGGTTGCTATTGTGGTGGCAGTATAGTATGAAAGTATTTGTGACCAATTATTTGAGGGTTTGTGACCAACTATCAGGAGCTAGTGGTGGTGGTGGTTTTGGCGTCAACAGTGGTGGTGCTATTGGAGGTAGTAATGAGATGGTGGTCACAAGTGTCGATAGTCATCACAAATTATTTGGTTGATTTCAACCATTATACAATATGTGGGACCAATAAACAATATGTGACCTATAAAAAATATAAAAAAAATGGTTAATTAGTGATTAATAAATAATATGTGACCAATAAAAAATATAAATTTAACTAAGAAATAACGTGTAACCTAAGAAATTGTTAATTTGTAATCGATAATATGATAATTTGTGATCGTATAATAAGTTGTGATTTTAAAATATTTGTGATTTGTGAATAATAAATAAAGTGTGACCCAATTTTTTTTTGATTTGTAACCGATGAACAAACTGTAACTTATAAAATTTTTGAATCGTGATCATAAAATAATTTGTAACATAAAATTTCTGATTGTGACCACAAAATAATAAATCACTAATTAAATCATTAATTTGTGCCTAAATTATATAGATCCATGACTTAAATATATTTAATTAATTAAATTATAAATAAATATTAATAAAAATTTAATTTTTGAAGTTTGAAACTTGTTTCCTTGATTTTGAACTTATGAAATTTTCTCTTGTAAGGTTTTTGATATATGGGCCGTAAAAAATTGTTTTGGTCCATTTAATTTCACCGCTTCACACAAATTGCTATATAAATAATAAAATGTTAAATAATTGATTTTAAAATGCTGTTTTAAATAATAGAAATTTTTAATGTAATTAATTCTATTCATTTATTTATTATTTTTATTCCGGATCAACTACGGTTTGACCTTACTTCAACTCTTTGACCCTTAACTTTTTACTTTTTTTTTTAAATCAATGATCAGGCTGGCTTTCAAAATATTGTTAAAAATCTAATTTTCATAAAAATTAAGCCTATGTTTGATAGCCTTTTGTGTGTGTAGAATGATTTTTTGAATAGTAAATTTGCGGAGAATATGTTATTAAAATGTAAGAAAAAATTTTAAATTTAATGTAAAGAATATTTTATTATAAGAATATATAATTAAAAATAAGTGTGAGAAAAAAATCAATTTTGATAGAATGACGGTCAAACAAGGGCTAAATTTAACGAATTTGACTCCATTTTATCTTAGGATTAAAAGTTCATTTCTAAGAAAAAATAATTTGAGTTATAAATGAAATTTCTGTGAAATCTGTACCGAGAAAATGGCAAACAATTTCTGTTGTCACCATCTCTCCCACAAACTCCGATCTTCCATTTCCTCTCTCCGCAACCTCCCACTCCCTTCTTCTCCATTCACAAGAGGGACATTGAAATTCCCAATTAGCCCTTCTCGACGCACACATACGCTATCAGCAGCCATTCACATTCAAAGCGGTCGCTTCACTTGGGACGACGTCTTCAACCTCGCTGAACCCCAACAAAATAAATCTTCTTATCTCGACGGCTATTTCGAAAAAGTCAAACTCTGCAATCGAAACTCTGTAATGTTCAAACGCCCCCGTTCATTTACTTGCATTTGCTCACAAAATCTATAATTCCACTGTATTCTTAATTGTCGGGTTATTGCAGGAGAAGCAGTGTGAGTTTATCCCTTTTGTACTCGAGAAACGAATTGTGGGTTATGTTCATAATAGGTAACAATGCCTTTTGTACACCATTCTTTCTATTTTTATTAATTAAACTGTTATCTTTCCTATATATATTGGAAATTTAATTTCCATAGAATTTCTTCGTAATTTGTGATTGTCTAATGCGCTAATATTTTACCATCAACTACTTGATTTCATAGATGGTGTAACGAAGTAGAACTCACCTTAAAACCGGCTTAACGAGATTGTAAGGGAGATCTCCCAAGAGCCTACGAGGCCACAAGGCAGGAGTTACACTTGCAATTGGGGATACAATTAGGTCGTTACAAATGGCTATCCTTAGGTCAATTTTATGTTTTGGGGCTAACTATAAAAATGAACTGTTAGAATTTGGACTACAGGTCAAGAACCTCATAACTGATTGGGAAGTTTATGTTGGGTTTATGACCCAAATTAGGTTGGATTATTTGGAAAGAAAAATTGTTTCCTTATTTTCATGTGAAAAAAATTGTTTTCTTATTTTCACGTGATTTTATTAGAAATATATTATTTTCTTATTCCATATTATTTCTATTTTCATGGAGTGTCCTCTTCTTTCAATTTAGTTTAAGCAAAATTATTGTGTTGTAATTTTCTCTCCATATTGTCGTTATAATAAAATATCGTTCCTCTACTTTAACTCTATTCTATTCCTTACTTTAATCTTGTTTCATCTTTGTGATCTTGTTAAATATTTCATACAACGTCATTAATCTCAATCCTTGAGTCTCCTTTGGGATCAACAAGTGGTATCGGAGCAATTTTGGTAACTTGCTTGTTCCCAACAAATGGTATCAGAGCTAAGCTGTAGGTTCTTCGTGATTCGATTGAGATTTTTCAGGATGGCTTTGTTGAAGTATGATATTCTGCTGCTAGATCGCAATACAAGGTTTTCGTTGTGGCAAGTAAAGGTGAGAGCTATTTTAGCACAGATGGATTTGGACAATACAACGTTGGGTTTTGATAAGATGCCAACTTAGTGGACAACGGAGGAGAAATAACAGAAGGATCAGAAGGCTCTATCGCAGATTTACCTACACCTCTCCAATAGTATTCTACAGGACATCTTCAAGGAGAAGACAGCGACGGCTTTGTGGTTAGAGCTGGAGTAGTTGTACATGACGAAAAGTCTTTAGAGCTCAAGGAAACTGGCTCAAAAGGAAAAGTTGTATTTCCATCGCATGGTAGAAGGAGGATAACTGAAAGATCATATTGCTGTGTTCAAGAAAATCGTCGCAGATTTAGAGACTTTGGAGGTTAAGTTTGATGAGGAGGATCTGACCTTGATCCTGTTGTGTTCGCTGCTGCCCACCTCTTATTCGTCGTTTCGGGACACTATTCTGTACGGTCGGGATACTTTAATCATTGATGAAGTCTACGATCCTTTTTATTTGAAGGAAAAGTTGAAGCATCTGGTTGGAGCTGCATCTAGGGATGAGGAAGTTCTAGTATCTCATGGTGATCGACGGAGGGGCATATCAAAAGTGAACAGAAATTTGTATTGCTTTTACTGCAGACGAAAATGACATGTTCAGAAGGATTGTGATAAGTTATAGGCTAAAGGTGATTTGATTGCAAATTGTGGAGCACAACCATCGACTTCAGACGAAACCAATTTAGTTGAGGATTTTTCGGATGGCGGAGATGTTATGTTGACCGTGGTATATGAAGTGAAGTCTAAACCTAATGAGGAGTGGATTCTTGATTCGGCATGTTCGCATCATATGTGTTCCAATCAGGACTTATTTTAAACATATGAGGCTGTTCAATTAGGTGGAATTGTAATGGAAAACAACCAGTCTTGTCGTTTTGCTAGGATCGGTAGAGTCAAATTAAGGCTGCGGGATGGGACAGTCAAAACACTTGGTAAGGTTCTACATGTTCCAGACTTGATAAGGAATCTCATCTCCCTGAGTAACTTGGATGCAAAATGGTATAAATTCTTTGGTAGAGGTGGAGTCTTGAAGTCTGAAGGGGTGTCTGGGTTGTACTGGAGGGACGGAAAAGGTCTTAGTTGTACATATTGTAGGAAGCGCAGATCAGTTAAGAGACATTTGGATAAGTTTAGTACCGTAGTGGATATTCAGTTTGGTACAGTACCTCTTGCGATGCGCTCTAGGTTGGTACAGAACATTGCTCGAGGGAGTGTTGGTAATTTCGCTTTGCCACCAATTTCAGCAATTGCACCGTGTTCAAATGCTAGGGTTGAGCCCATGAAGCGTAGTTATAGTGTTGTCAGTGATGTCTATGTTGCTTTTGGGATCGTTGAAGATGACAGTTCTAGCAAGGGACCTTTTGATTAGGCATATTGTGTGGTTTCTACTAAAGGGTGTGCTTCAACCCTATTTGATCAACAATAATCCCATAGTAGAATTTTGGAAACCCGGAAGTAGGGTTCAGGTGTCGCTTGTGGACGCTGAGCAGAGGAAGATTTTTTTTTTTTTGTGATGAAGAATTTTGGTTACTGTTTTGAAGAGTTCGATTATTTCGATACAATTGGACATATTTTTCCAAGTGAAGAAATTTTAGAGTTTTTTTCGTTGTACCGGAATGTGGAACAAGGTGGAGATTGTTGGGTTTATAACCCAAATTAGATTGGATTATTTGGAAAGAGAAATTGTTTTCTTATTTTCACGTGATTTTATTGAAAATATATTATTTCCTTATTCCACATTATTTGCATCTTTATGGTATGGTATGTACCTATAAATAGTGGTATCTTCTTTCAATTTAGTTTAAGAAAAATTGCTATGTTATAATTTTCTTTTTATATTGTCGTTATAATAAAACATCCTTCATTTGCTTTAACTCTTTTGTTTTTACTTTAATCTTGTTTCATCTTTGTGATTATGTTACATATTTCATATAACGTCATTAATCTCAATCTTTGCGTTTCCTTTGGGATCAACAAGTGATATAAGAGCAATTCTGATAACTTGCTTGTTCCCAACAGTTTATGCACTAATTCCTTTCTGAACCTAAAAATGCAATTTTGGATTTGTAAAGTTTGTTTGTGAGTCCTGCTTGAATGGAATTCTATGTTTGATTTTCACACTATGTCATCATTTATTTCTTTGATTGATATGGTTACTTTTTCATTTCATCTGCAGATTTGCTGACAATTTGAGGAGGTTTGATGATTTGATTATTCTCCCAGATGACACTAGTTATGGTGGAAAATTTGGCCGCTACATCACATTACATCCGAGGATAAGGACAATCGAAGATAGAACTAGTGCTCTTGAATATGTAATCAAGTCCTTGGGCGAAGAACTCGTTCCAGGTATACGAAACGAGGTACTTATTTTGATCACTGACTAATGTAATTTATCGTTTGTCACCCTTGATGGTCCTATCAGAGTTTTTGTGGGTCGCTAGTCGCATGAATCATGTCCTTTTATATGATGACTTTGATTTATGTTCACTGTAATCAGCTATATCCTGTCAAATCTTCTTTTGGGGTGCCAGAATATTTTTCGCTGGAACGTGCAGCTGCACCATATTTTGGAATAAAGGTGACCCTCCTCCATGACAATATCATAATTTACTTTCTGTAGGGTTTTGGGGGTGGCCAATGATTATATGACTATGATTACCATTCTGTAATGTATAGAAATTTAAGTAATGTCATTGATGGTTATTCATTGATGCTGCTGTCTTTGGCATAATTAGAGACGGATGTTTGTATTTGACTAATTCCTACTTCCATACTTGTTGTTTCAATCTACAAAAGCAGGGGAGCAGCATTGTAATTGTGCAAGTACATGTGTCTTACCTTGATCTGTGTATTTTATTTTTTTATTTGCTAGTTTTCTTCTTTTTCCTTCTTAAATTATTTATAAGTCATGATTTGTACTTTTCTGATACTTCGGCAAATAGTATCCCTTCAGCTTTGCCAATGTTATTGATTACCCCATGCATTTTTTAAATAGATAAATCGAACCTTGTGGTTTTGAAACACTTGCAAATTATCTCTAAACCAGCAAAACTTTTGCAAACCATACTGGCATAATATGTAGGATTTGTGGGTTCATTTTGCAGGGTTTTTAAAATGAAGAATGGGTGATTAGTCTATAACAAAATGATCGGGGTGTCAGTAAGATTTGCAAACTACAGTGGTTTAATTTGCATTTTCCATTTTTCTTGGGTTGAAGACTATTAGATTGGATAGGTGCATTTGTTGCTAGTAAATGAAATATATCGTATTGTGCATTAATAATTTCCTTGGATGGTACATATGTGATGTAGGTTTATGGAGTTCAAATGAATGGCTATGTTGAAAGAGATGGGCAGAAGTATCTATGGATAGGGAAGAGAAGTGAAGTAAAACCCACCTACCCTGGGATGCTTGATAATCTAGTTGCTGGAGGGCTGGTACACGACAACCTTCTTCATTATGTTTTCTTTCTAATTTTTGGATATATTAATGTAAGATTTAATGATGTATGGAGGATTGATCTGTTCGTTCTTGCGTTTAAACTTTTGGCACACATTTTCTCAGTGGTTCCTAATGATATACTAACTATGTATTTTGCTCATTGGAAAACTAGTTCTTGGATCCTCTTTTCTCATACTGATCCTGAAAAACAACATTCTCTTACTGCTCCCCACCTAGAAAGTTATTCTTTTGATTTTTCATGAATAAATTCACAGCCGCATGGGATCTCTTGTGGAGAGAATCTTGTGAAGGAATGCGAAGAGGAAGCGGGGATACCTAGATCGATATCTAGTGGGTAAGTTTTTCAATTCATCATATTTGTTGTCCCACTGTAGTACCACACAGAATATAACCTTTACAAAGAAAAGGTCTTTTGTTGCCAAAAAACCATATAATCACCTGTTCTTTTTTATTGATTGCCTTCCTGGCCCTGGAGGAATTATTACTTAAAGATGCCAGATGTTTTATTAAACTCAGGGCTACAGCAGTTGGAGCTGTTTCCTACATGGATATTGACGGATATAGATTCAAGAGAGATGTTCTCTTTTGTTACGATCTAAAGCTTCCAGAAGGCTTTATCCCAAAGAATGAGTAAGGCCATCAATATCCTTGACTTCTGTGCTCCAGAAATATTAGAAATAAAAAAGACTTAAGAAGACGTTAGCTAGCTACTTTAGATTCTATTATGGATCCAATAATACAAGTTCGATCAATATTTTAGAAACTTCATCTCCTCAATTAAGTAGTTAATCTCAGTTAATATTACAGGAGCTACAGTGCTTTCTTTTGAAGCTTCTCAATATATTTCTCTTGTACATGGCAGATGGAGAGGTGGAGAGCTTTAAACTAGTTCCCGTGACAAATGTTGCAAAAATAGTAAGGAGGACACAGTTTTTCAAAGCAAATTGCAATCTTGTCATTATCGATTTCCTATTTCGCCATGGGTATGATATCATTGCATAATCTTTCACGTGCTTTTCAATATAAAGTGATGCATAAGTAAAATAGAACTATAGAATGTAGTTTATTCTATTAATCATTTTCGTGTTTTTCTGCTATTATATTTACCAATTCATTATTGATGGAAAAGATTTCTTATGGGCATCTCAACGCTTGTGCTGTGTTATCTGTTGAACACATATATCTCATCAGTGATCTTATTCCTCCTAGCACTTGCTGCCATCCTCATACATGAATATCAATATTTTAATGTATCAACACATTTAAATGTCACAATAGAAAACGTGCATGTCTTCACATGCCATAACAATATTAAGTCTTGTATCGCGGTTGGAGTGCAATTTTACATACATTATATCTGTTATATGGTGCTCATCATAATCTCAAATAGGACTATGCTTGGACATTGGATGCCACTGAAATCCATAAAATATTCTTTTGCATCATTCTTAATTTTCATTAAATCTCAATTTTATTCATGCATATCATATAATCTCACATGTCACGTTTTCCCGCTTAATTCTTCGTCAAATTCATGTATAGCCAAGATTGAAAAAATGATTTTCTTTTTCCTTTTTGCTTGGTCTAATGTGAATATCTGAACTCTTCATTAATTTTCTGACGATTTGAAAAAGTATAGTAGTTCTGCATCATCTGTATTTTGGTCTGTTTAGATTGCAATTGCTGGTACTTCAATAGAATACATTGCTATTCTATTTTCTTCAAGAGTATTAACTGATAAAGAAAGAGGGTATTGTAGATACTCAAGTAATTTATGATTATAATAATATTCTTGTAAAACGACTTTTGTTTACCTATTAATCTGTGGTCCTGTCATACTATTTCTTAACTAAAAGCTAGATAGGATACAGAATGAATTTGGAAAAACTTTTGTATATACACAGGAACAATCCTCATATTGTAATTCAGTTAAAATCGGTCACTTTGAAATTATAGATCAAAAAATTATTGTCTTTTTGGTTGTTGGTGTTTTGCATTTGAAGGAAAATCGTCAGAATAGGTGATATAAATGGGTTCTTGGTTGGTCTCTTGACATTCCTATCAAGTACATATAATCCCTGCAATCATTTAAGCCTATGTTTGGCTCATGTTTATAATCACTCACCCACTCATCCACAACTCATTTCTATCTATTTATAATTTAGACAGTTAATAAATACTTCCCAAACATGCTCAAAGTTTATATAAGAATTGGTGAATTTTATACCTTATTCTGTTCTGTTGGTTTAATTTGATGGACTATATATATATATATGCTGGGAGCGATATGACTGCAGTGGTCAAGGTCTGCAGTCTGCATGTTACAGGAGTAAAGAACAGCTTCATATTTTTTGCTTCCAATTCACCTGCAGGTATATTAAGCCTGAAGATTTAGGATATTTGGAGCTACTACAGAGTCTAAGAAGTGGAGATTGCTCCTGAATCTGAATTTTATTCATTTGAAAAGCTTGAGACACGGTGCTGATCAGGTACATGCTGGAGTTTTCGCAAGAAAGAAATATCAGAAATGAGATGAACGTGCTAAATTATTTGTTCCTCCAAACCAGATCGTGTAATCGTCATGGAAAGTAAAGATCAGTTTCAATACTTTTTTCCTTAATTCTTCGATTTTTCATTTTTTTTTTATTGGTTTAGGAATCTTACTCTGTATCTCCTTGGCAGCAATTCTCCCCTTGGCATTAATTTGGGCTATCTTCGCTCTAGTTTCCTGTTATATTCTGTCGACTGTTATAATCCCACGGCCTCTTGCATGGTTAGGATCTTTCGCCATCTTTGGTTTTTGGAAGAGCTGGTGATACAAACATGGAAAAATAAAAATGAGCAAAGAAATGGTAGATTTGTTCGAGAAAATCAGGACCTCCCAAATGCAATTCAAATTTGTAGAATAATTTGTTTACACTTTCATTTCATTTTTGCCTGGACTTAAATGTAAATAATGCAAGACCATGTTTCACGGGGTGCCTTTCTTCTTGGCACAGAAAGGGACACCGTGCGGCTGTAGTCTGCTCCGCTAGACTACCTTCCGCCTTTTCTCGGTCGCGTCGGGACGAAAGAAAATTTGATTGCAATTTTGTAGAAAGCTTACAATTGAGAATTTGAATACATTGAAAGTAAATTGAACATTGATTGCTGAAAACTGAACATTACAATTGATGAAAGCAGAAAATTACAAATGCTGGTGCAGGGGGCGGACACCAGTGAGCTTGAAAGATTTTTGAATGACTAATACCCCCTATAATAGCATTCTGAACAAAAACCCAAGTGACGGGAGTAGACGTTTAAAAGACGAGGAATCATACTAATCTTTTACCAATATCAGAGCTATTTTACAATTAAAATAACTATTACAATGAAACGAAAATTACAACTCAAACTTGAAGTAATATTTACAATGTGCGGCCGAAGTTGGGCAAACTGCGGCTGCGATAGTGTCAAGGGGCTAAGTAAAGCTGCGGTCCTTGACATTCTCCCCCATTTGTTTTGGCGACGTTCTCGGTGCCATCAATGCATGATACTCTTCAATTAATGATTTGAAGGCCCCGAGATCTTTTTCTCTTTCCCAAGTATTCTCCTCGCTGCTGCATCCCATCCATTTGACCAAGTACTCCTGATGATCTTTTCTAGAAGCCCGAGTGATTCGATGGTCAAGAATAGCTTCAGCAACCTTCTTTCCAGCTTTCTTCAGTTCAAATACAGGTCGCTTTGGCTCATTTCTAGATGCGTCCTCCTTATCTGAAAAGTATGGCTTCAACACACTAACATGAAGGACCTTGTGGATTTTACACCATGAAGGGAGTTCAACTCTGTATGCAACTCTTCCAATCCTCTTCACAATGGGTAATGGTCCAATGTATTTTGGTGACAACCTTGAGTCCTTCCCTCTTGTTGGCTTGTAAACAATTCTGTCGAAAAGCTTAACCATTACCAGATCTCCAACATTGAATTCAATAAAACGACGCTTTAGATCTGCAGCCTTTTTATACCGTTTTTGAGAAAAGATAACTCCGAGCAATTTCAATATTTCGTTTCCACTCTTGAGAAAAAACTCTTTGCTTGAGGGGACTTGGTACTTCGTTCAATATCCACTGTATGAGGGAGTAGCGGTTGCTGGCCAGTAACAATCTCAAAAGGACTCTTATTGGTGGAAGAGCTCTTTTGGGCATTGAAGCAAATTTGGGCCGCATCCAAAAGTTTTACCCAGTTTTTCTGCGAAGTAGAGATAAAGTGCCGAAGATATTCTTCTAGCATAGAATTGAAGCGCTTCCGTCTGTCCGTCAGATTGTGGGTGAAAACTGGAACTCATGCTCAAAGTTGATCAAAATTCTCAACTTTTGGCAACCCAATAATGTAGTCCATCGATACACTTTCAAATGGCCGGGATGGAACGGAAAGGGGCTCCAGCAAGCCCGCCTTTTTCTGATGATCTGCCTTATCTTGCTGACAAATAAGACAAGTTTTTACATA